GGAATAGTTCTGGTAGAGTGAAAGTATCCTGAGTGTAAACAGAAAAGAGAAACACGGATAAAGGAAAGAATCAAATGTGTGTGGAGGGAAGGTAAGATTGGAAAAGAGCTGCTTCACCTTAAGAAGCTGTAGGAGCTTCTTAGCCCAGGAGAAGCTGCATCATCCCAAAATTCCAGAGAACAGAGAACCCACAAATAAACCCCAGGGGGTGCCTGGATGAGTAACAAAGTCCTTGACCATCAGAATCAGTAGGGGAAAAGCCAATTGCTTTTCCTCCACCAAAATATCAATATTTACATTTTGGTTGGAACAACAAGGCCTACAAGAGAGAACAGGCACATGCTGCACACTTCATAAATGCTGGAAATGGGATTCCAAAAATTATTCTATATAAGTGGGAGCCTGAACATTTGATTTTGATAAAACAAAGCAGCGAACACCTTCTTTTCTCTCTCTCAGAGAAGAAGGTTGTCATGTTGACACCTGGGATGCAGGGAGAGCCAAGGCAGCAGTGACCCAAATATCAATGTAGTTCCTAAGAGGAAATATCTGCTGTCTGACAGAGGATAATGATTTGGAAGGATTTTAGGGCACATTCTACAGGCAGATATCAGCCTATCCACCTCAAAGCTACATTTCCTTCTACTTTGCATACACTAATGTATAAATCCAACATGAACAGCAGCTAGCTGCTTCCTAAATGACACCACCTAACAATGTGCAATTAATTCATCCAACTGAACCCAAAGTTCTTTGAGTTTTTGGGTATGGAATGATCTCTGCACAGGACTGAACCCCATGGCAGGAGCTTTGTGGTACCTGCCAGATTTTAATGCTTTTCTGCTGAAATAATTACAGCCACCACCACCCATCCATCAGCAACAGCCAGTGGAAATGAGCTTTTCAAGCCCATTTAGTGAACCTGGAGGCTCAACAATTTTGCCTTGATAGCTTTTAGTCCTCCTAGAGCCTACATTTAGCTACCCAGGTCTTTGAAATATGGATGTGTTGGAATTATTATAGGTCCTGAAAGGGATTATGTGCAACCATTCTGCTAAATGAGCTGTTTTCTTCTGAGAAAAAGCTCTGCTTTTGGAGGAAGCATCTGAGCAGAGATCAGCTCTCCTGCTACAGTTCCCACTCCTGCTTCATCTCCCGAGCTACCCAGGCCTTGCTGCGGAGCTGGGAAAGTTCATCAGCATTAATCAGCATCTCCAGTTTGATGGTTTAATAGAGGGGAGATAACTGGGGGGCACACAAAGTCACAATATGACTTGCTGGCCAAAAAAGGAAGCCAGATGTTGGAGCTGAGGCCGGAACTTCCGAGTTCCTACTCTCTGGTTTGAGTCAGAAGGGTTCTACAGAGAGCTTGCTTTTATTTTAACTGCTCATGAAGGGGATGCACTGAGAGCAGACAGAACCTCACGCTTAGGGGTGTGGTTGTGATGCTGCACCTCAGCTGGCACTGCTGGGGGACAGAGGGAGGGGACAACACCCTCAGCTCCCTCTTCATCCCAAAACCCTGCGGTGATGCTGAGCCCACCTGGCCGTGTGCCGGCACTTCCTGCCTGGGACAGCAGGAGCAGCATCCCCATCTCCTGACAGCACAGCACCCCTGAGCTCACCTGGGCCTGGGACAGGGAGCACAGCATCCCTGAGCTCACCTGGGCCAGGGAGCACAGCATCCCTGAGCTCACCACAGCACCCCTGAACTCAGCTGGGCCAAGGACAGCAGCACAGCCCACACAGGGCCCAAGTGTCCCCAGGGGGATGGGACAGCCATGCCAAGGGGCTCTGCAGGAGCAAGAAGCTGCTGCTCCCTCCTGTCACAACATCCTGGGTCACCTGCAAAGAGCAGGAGTGCCTCCCAAAGCAGCTCTGGTTCGCAGGCACAGCCTGAGCCAGCCTCAGGGCCACCAGCTCAGCAGGGCTGACACAGAACAAACAGGAGCTATTCCGGCAGTTGAGCAGCAGCTCCTTGGCAACCACGAGCTCCAGGATAACCCAGGGCTCACCAGCCTCACCTGGCAGGACAAGCTGCAATCCACACACACTCCACTCCTTCCTGAATGGAAGGCTGCAACCACCAGGCAGCTTCAGGCACAAGAAAACAACAACACTCACTGCTAAAAAACGGGAAGGTGGGAAGAGAGGCTGTGGAATGAAAGGCAGGATGCTGCTGTGGGAAACTCAGGAACATCCAAGCTGCAGACGCCCACTGCCTGCTCCCATTTCAGAGTGCCTCACACACCACAGGGACACGAGACTCCCTGGAGCTGGGAACTTCCATTGGCTGCTCGCCTGGAGGCCCAGGGACAACCTGGGGGAAGAGGGATTTGTTCTGGGAGAAGCTGGCTGCAGCTCTCCAGCATCTCTGCATCCCAAACCTCACACAGCAGCATTTCCTGGAAGTCCCTGCTCCTGAGCTGTTTTGGTTGCTGGCAGGATATAGATCCCACAGAAGTGAAGAACGTATTTCCCAGGAGGCAATCACTGAAATTCCAGCCTCACATGTGAGGAGCAAATGCAATTCCCAAATGAGGGGCTTGCTCAGGAGGCCCCAGCTGAGCTCCCAGGGCTTCACAGATGGTTCACCTTCACCAGTGGAAGAAACAAAGGTGAAGGAAAGGGTGATGAGACAGACATGGTTAATTTGGACAGAAAATAAATCCCTCCCAGGATAGCTCCATCAACAATATTTACTTTGAAGCTGTTAGTAAAATCCTCTAAAAGGATCCTCAAAGGTGAGGAGAAAACAATGCAATAATTTGTGGTGTGTGGAAGCAAAGCCTGAAGGTGGATGTGCTCTGTGTGTCCAGAGAAACCCAGCTGGATTTTGCAGTATCCTCTTTTCCCTACAGACACAACACAGCACCACCACCTTTCTTTTCCCTCAGGAAGCCCCAAACTGGAGTTTGGGGCCCCAAAACAGTGCACAAGCACTATTTACACACACTGCAGGCAGGAGCAGCCCCAAGAACTCCCACATAGAGCTCTCTGCAAACCCCTCTCAAAGCAAAGAAACACTACAGCTTCCTCTGAAGCCAACTTTTGAGTGGCATTAAGATTTGTGAGCCATGAGTGGCAACCAAGCCCAGCAAACAGGAGTTTGTTCCACAACATTTGCAGTGCCTGAGCTCACTGTGCATCACTGCATTCCCTCCTGCCTTCCCAACTTCCTCCCAAAATCCCTGCCCAGTGAATCAAGCTCTAATTCATCCCTGCTCATTACCTTCCACATCAACCCAGTTCAGCCCCACTGAGGCAAACCTGCTCCCAGCAGCCTGCTCTTCTGCAGAAGAGTTTAATTCTGTTTTCTTTGTTCCCTGTGTGCCTTCCAGCAGCTCCTCTTCACACTTTCCCAACTGTTTCCGGGAAGGAGGCTGCTCTAGCAGCAGAACATGCCCATCTGTAGGCTCCAGGGAAATGGGAACAGAAGGAAAATCTTGCCCAGGAGTCACATGATGAGTTACAACAGTAAACCCTGCAGCACAGCCCAGGGACTGCTGCTCAACTTCCACAGGCAGCCAAACAGTGAACGTTGAAGGGGAAAAAAGAAGAAAACAAGGTATAATTCAGGAGGATAAATGTGTGTGTCCAGGGAAGCAAGGGGAGAACTAAGGAGTTCTTCTGTCAGCTGCACTGTGAAGTGCACACCCTGGCCTGCCAAACCTTGCAACCATTTATTCACCTTTTTGAACCTGGGCTGGTCACTAAGAATCCACCTCAAAAATCCCCCTTTGCCTGAAGGTAAAGCCACAAAGAGCTGGGACATGTGGCAGGCATGTCAGGAGCCCACCCTGAGCACCCTCAGGCTACTGCCATAAAATACTACCAGTACTTATATACCTAAATATTATATCTATATATCTTTTACTGAGAAGACCGTGTTGCACCCCAGCACATCCCAGAGAGAGCAGCAAAGCCTCTCCAAGGGCCTAATGGAGCTCACCAAAGGGGCTACAGAGACCAAAGTTTCAATAAAACACCAATCTCACACAGCAAGCAGTGTGATTACCTCAGCTCTTGGGTGAAGAAATTCACAACCAGGATCCCAAATTCTGGAAGAAAAGGGGTGCTACATCCCCAAAGGCAGGTTAAGCTAGAGTGGGGTAAGAACCAGGCCAGGAACTCCAGCCTGAGCTCAGTGGGGCTGTCTGGGTGAGCCAGGACAGAGACCCAGGAGCAGATCCAGGGCTGCTGGAAGCACCTCCCCACCGTGCCCACCTGCAAAGGGCTCCTTTGTGCCTGCCCTTGTCACCCCAAGAAACGCTGGGATGCAGGGTGGGACACCAGTGCTGGGACAGCAGGTGTCCCTGTGGCCAGAGCAAGAGCAGCAGCTGCGGGTGGTGGCAGCGAGCAGCGCCCCGATGCCCCGGGGGCAATCCCCGCCTGGCAGCCCTGCCCTGTGGGCACCCACCCGATCAGAGACCGCTCCCGAGACCTTTCCTCGGGATCTTATCCAGGGGAGGAGAGGCTCGTGCAGATCCCAGCGGGCCGGCTCTGTCGCTGTGCCCGTCCCTGCGGCTGGCACTGCGGGGACAGCTGAAGGCCGATGTCCCCAGCACAGAACAGATCCAGGTCACTCCCCCGGCTTACCCAAGGCTCCGTTGGAGGCCGTGAGGGCAAGCCCACAGCTGGCGCCGGAGAATTTAATCACGAAATGGTTTGGGTGTGAAGGGACCTTGAGGCTCATCCAGTGCCACCCCTGCCACGTCCAGGGCCACCGTCCGCCGTCCCAGCCCGGGCACCGCCACTTTCCAGGGCGGCCACGGCTGCTCGGGCACCCCTCAGCTTTAACGCCACAAAACCCGGAATTCCCAACTGCCGCGGGCACCAGCGCTCCCAGGAGGAATCAGTGCCCTCCCGGCCTTTCACATCCTGCCAGGGCGGGGGCTCGGGGGCGCCGCCGCCCCTCGGCCCCTCAGGCTCCGCTGCCCGGGCCCCGCGGGACAATCCCCCTTCCTTCCAGCCCTCCCGTCCCCGTTCCCCCAGCTCACCATGGCCGCGTTGGCCCCGGGGCGGCTCTAGGCAGGGCGCCGCGCTCTGCTCATCTCATGGCCGGCGGTGGCCCGGCGGGGCCCCCCCGCCCATGCACCGGCGAGCCCCCGCCGGCCGCGCCACGGGCACCGGAGAGCTGCCGGCACCCAGCCCCCGGGCCTCCCCAAGCGGCGGGATGGGGAGCCCCGGGGCGCCGGGCAGGGCCGCGGGAGGACGGGCGGGAGCGGCGGGCGGCGCGGCCCGCGCGGTGCGGGGCCGGTGTCGGTGCCGGGGCTACGCCAGGCGCATCCCGGGCCCGCCCCGCCCTCCCACCGGAAGCGCTCACCGGCGCGGGCAGCCAATCAGAGCCGTGCAACGGCTCTGCGCATGCGCAACTCGCCACAGAGACCTGCCCGCCGCCATCTTGGAGAAGGGCGCGGCCCTTTGCCGGGCGCTGAGGGAAGGGCACGCCCGGAGCGGCGCCTGGCCCCGCCTCCGCAGCACTGCGCATGCTCTAAGGGATCTTTCCCGCGCGGCAGGAAATAGGAGGCGATCGGGCTGTACCGTGGTGGGCGTGGCTATGGCTGGGCACGCCTGGTGTGGGCGGGGCTTGGGTGGGATTGGGATTGGGGAGGGGGATTGGGTTGGATTGGATTGGAGATGGGATGGGATGGGATGGATTGGAGATGGGATGGGATGGGATTGAGGATAGGATGGGATGGGATTGGGGATGGGGTTAGGAATAGAGAGGGGGATGGACCCGGGCCTGGGCCTGGCCCTGACCCTGCAGCTGGAGCCGGAGCTGTCCCTGGATCCAGCCCTGGGCCTCGACCCCCGCCATCCCCCAGGGCTGCCTCCTGGCTCCTGCCCCAGGAAGAGCTCCCAGCGCTCTGGATGTGGCTCCTGGCTTTGTGCCCGTGCAACTAATTAAGTAATTAAGCAATTAAGCAAACCAGGGAGAGGCAAACCCCCCGACCCTTCCAGCCCTCCCCAGCAAGGACAGCAAAGCTCCGTGGCAGGGAATCCTCTGGCTGTTCCATGTCCTGGGGTTGCCTCAGCCTGGAGCTCCTTGTGGCCGCTTTTCCATTGCTTTCCATCACTTTTCCATCACTTTTCCACTGCCTGACCTGGCCAGGAGCGAGGACATCCCAGATCATTAATCCAGGGGATTAATGTCAGGAAAACATTAATCACGACATTGAAACCCAGGCCCCAACTGCTGCCCCCCAAAATCAAGGAGCTGGGAACCACTGGTGACATGAGGGTGTCTGAGTTAGGTTTTATGAGCTTTTGGAGATCTATATTACACTTGAGATAGTTTAGCTACTTCAGATGGCATAAAATTAGCAGGATGGCTTTTGTGGTAGTGTTGGAAACAGAAAAGTTTTAATAAAAGGCAAAATAATAAAGTTTTTTACAGAAAACTGAACTAGGGTAAAAAGTTCTTACTCTTAGTAAAACACGTCACAAAAGCCATTAGTTTCTTTGTTCTCTTCTTTGTCTAATAAATTACTTAAACAAAATTTTTCACTTTTATCTAATTAGCTATCTTTAAAGTAAAGTTTCTAAAGTCTTATGAAATGTCTTTTTACCTAATTAAAGAAAAAAAAAAAAAACAACTTTTGAGCCTTTTTCTTTTTTAAAGAACCAAAAGATAATTTTGCTGCTCCATCACCAAAAACACATTCCTACCCACTGGAACTCCAGACCTGTGAGGCTGATGCAGATCAAAGCATTCCTCATGGCTCCCAAATTCCTGTGGCACCTGCAGTGACAAGAGGTGGCTCAGCTTAAGAGGCTTTAGAGGGGACAACAGCCCTGTGGGGACATTGCAAAGGCTGGCACTTCCCTCAGAGGATTAAACACCGGGAGGAGGGGGAATGATCCCTCCGTGGGGCTGGAGCTGGAGCTCGGGGCTGAGCGGCCCCGTGGGTCTCCGGAGGATTTTCCGTCATGGAGGATTTTATTTGCGCTCTCTCCGCAGAGCACTGAGCCCAGGAGCCCCAGTCCTGCTCGTCCCTGCGGGAAACGCTGCTCCTGGGCCTGGCAGGGAGGAGAGCTGAGGAGACACGGCCCGGAGGTGCCCATGGATCCTCCAGGGCACCCCAGGCAGAGCCCCGGCTCCAAACCCTGCCTCGGCATCACCTCCAACCCTCCCCGACCTCCAAAATACCCTGCAACCCCTCCAACCCCTCCAGAGCCCCTCCAAGCCCTCCAGAGCCCCTCCAAGCCCTCCAAAACTTCTCCAATTCCTTCAAAACCTCTCAATCACCTCCACAACCCCTTCACCCTCTCCAAAACTTCTCTAACCCCTCCAAAACCTGTCCATCTCTCCCAAAACCTCCACAACCCCTCTAACCCCTCCAAAGCTTCTCCAATTCCTTCAAAACCTCTCCATCACCTCCAAAACCTCTCAATCACCCCCAAAACTTCTCAATCACCCCCAAAACCTCTCCAACCCCTCCAGAACCTCCCCATCACCTCCAAAACCTCTCCAACACCTCCTCAGCCCTTCCAACACTCCCAGAACCTCTCCATCACCTTCAGAAACTCTCCAAAACCCCTGCAACCTCCCCAAAATCTCTCCGACCTCTCCAAAACTTCTCCAGCATTTTCAAACCCCTCCGAACTCTCCAAAATCTCTCCAATGTCTCCAGTACCTCTGCAAATCCTCTCTGATATTTTCAACCCCTCCATGCCTCCAAAAGTTCTCTGACTCCCCCAAAACTCTCCAATGCCCTCAAAATTTCTCTGATATCTCCAAAACTCCTTCAAGACCTTCAAAACCCCTGGAGCACCTGCAAAACCCCTCCAGCCTTCCCCAAATCTCTCCAACATCTCTAAAACCTCACTGAAACTTTCCAAGTCCCTCCAACACCCTCTAAAATCTCCCACCTTCAAAATCCCTCAAACACCTCCGAATATCTCCCTGCATTTCCAAAATATCTTCAGCATCTCCAAACTTCTGAAAAATTCCCCCAAAATCTTCTGTTGCCTCCAAAACTCCTCCAACACCTTCAAACCCCTGTGACTCCTCCAGAATTTTTGATAAACACTTCCAAAACCCCTCTGAAACCTCCAAAACACCTGCAACCTCTCCAAATCCTCTTCAACATTCCCAACACCTCCAAAACCCCTCCAGCACCTCCAAAACCTCTCCAAAATCCCCAAAACTCCTCCAAAACCCTTCCAAACACCACTCCAGCGTCTCCAGAACCTCTCCAAAATCTCTGCAATATTTCCTTCCCCACCAAAACACTACGATGCCTCCAAGACCTCTCCAACACTCCAAAATCTCTCCAACACCTCCAAATCCTCTCCAACACCTCCAGAACTCCTCTGACACCTCCAAACCCACTCCAAAACTTCCCCAATATTCCCAACACCACCAAAAGCCTCAGATGCCTCCAAAAGCTCTCCAACACTTCCAAAACCATCACATCTCCAAAATCTCCAGAACACCTCTGACTTCTCCAAAACTCTTCTGACACTTCCAAACCCCCTTCAAAACTTCCCCAATGTTCCCAGCGCCACCAAAACCTCTCCCACACTTCCAAAACCATTACAACACCTCCAAAAGCTCTCCAACACTTCCAAAGCCATTACAACACCTCCAAAATCTCCCTAACACCTCCAAAGCTCCTCTGCCTGCTCCAAACCCACTCCAAGACCTGTGCACCCCCCGGCTGAGCCGAGGGTGTCCGTGTGGGTCCGGGCTGGAGCTGGCCCCTCGGCAGGGCTCCCATGGGATGTGCAGCTGGGCGGGCTCGTTGCCATGGTGATCATTAAAGGATAATCCCATTACCAGCGTTTGTCATCCCGGCAGGGCTGTGTGGACACGTGCTCTGAGGAGCTGGGGACAGCAGGGACAGGGATCTCCCGAGCCTCCCCAGCCAGGGACCTGCTGCTCCCACCACTGTGGGGTGGGGATGGGCTTTTTGGGGTCCCTGAAAGAGAAGCAGCTCAGATGCTTGGGATGAGGAGGGAGGGATGGAGCAGCTGATGGGAATCTAAAGAAGGAACCTCCTGCCAATCTCCTGCATCCCTACAGGGAGACTTCTCCTCTATCCCATTTGTCCCTGCAAAGGCCAAGGATGTGGAACAGGGATGTGAGGCTGCTTTTGCAAGCCTTTGATTTAGAAACATCTGTCCCAAGGTAAAGGAATCATAAATCATGGAAAGGTTTGGGTTCAAGGGACATCTAAACTCATCCAGTTCCACCCCCCTGCCAGCCTTATTAAAGGTCTGTGCCCATCTTCCTTCCAGGCCCCCTTTAGACACATCCAGGTGTCCCCAGTGTCCTTGGCCTCACACAGGAAACCCCAGGGCTCACATGGCCCTGTCAGGGACCCCCTGTTGTTGTTGATCCAAGAAAAAACAAGGTGGGAATTCCCCATCAGCCTCCAGCATCACTGGAGCATGAGGAGGAGCCTGTCCTGGGAGTGCGGCCATGCCAGGCCCCAGGCCTGCTTTTCCCATTGTTGGAAACGCCATTTCTCCAAGAAAATCAGCAGCCACCCAAAGCAGTGACTGTGCCAGCCCTCGCTTCAATTTGGGGCTCTTCCATCCCTGAAGAGGGAGCAGCAGGGCTTGGACTGCACCTGGACCTGCCCCCAGGCTGGAGAAGCCATCCACCTTCTTTCTGAATTTATTTGCTAACTTTATGTTTTAAAAACACAGAAGGAATGGAAATGCCATGGAGCTGAACAGCTGTTTGGGGAGATGAAGGGAACAGGATTTGTGAAAATAATTTGTTACCACATGGTTTATCTCTCAATTTTTATTGCAAGCAGCCACTGAAATGCCTGTTCTCCAAGCCTCCTGCACTGCTCCAGCCTTGATTCCAGCCCCTTCAATCCTACGTTCAAATACTCATCTCATTTAATTGCTTTATTCCCATTTTGCAGCATTTGGGTTTTGCCCTCAGGGTGAGTCTGAGCCTCACACAGCTGGCTGTGCTTCCCCTCACATCCCTCCCCTCTGCTCCCATCTCCTTTATTGTTCCTGCCACAAACCGAGCTGCAGCTCATTGGGAATGCCACGGAGAAATGAGCATTTTACTGCCCTGCCACCTCATGCAAAGCAATTTGATGAAAAGGGTTAAACTGTGTTTTATAAGTCCAATCAAGCAGCTTGGAAAAGTTTTGTCCACAAAGCCCCACGGCTCCCCATGGCTCCCAAGTTCCTTGGCAAGGAATTTGCTTATTTAGCAAGCAGTAAAAACCCAGCAGGTAAAAATTCCTGAGTCCAAATTCCTGAGGAAAGTACAGAAGTGGGTAATTAATGACATAAACCCAGCAGAGCCTGG